TTTATTTATTAAGCATACAATATTCTGTCTCTATGCCTGCAGGCCAGAAGAGGGCACCAGACCCCATTACAGATGGTTGTGAGCCACCATGTGGTTGCTGGGAATTGAACTCAGGACCTTTGGAAGAGCAGGCAATGCTCTTAACCTCTGAGCCATCTCTCCAGCCCCTATCAGTCAGTTTCTTTATTAAACAATCACGGTGACATATAGTCTCACAGTGGAAAGGAATAATCCATAGCAGAAACCCTGTCTCAATAAAAACAAACATCTTTAAAATTTTTTTATGTGTATGAATCTCCATGTGTACCTCAAATGTCACTACTGCTAGAGAGAACCAGAAGAGTGTATCAGATCCGGTGGAAATGGAGTTACAGATGGTTAGGAGCCGACCATGTGAGTGCTGGGAATTGAACCCAGGTCCTTAGGAAGGGCAGTCAGTGCTCCCAACCACTAACCCCCCTGAGAGGCTTCTGAAACTAGCTCCGATGGTATTGTTTCAGGTTTAGCTACATTACCATTGGTGTCTATGTCTGCCTCCACCTCTGAGGACCTTCTGATAATCCCTCAACAGACACCCCCCCCTTTTCCGGAGAACCCCTCCAGACTACGCTCTGTCACATGACAGAATGCCACCACTAAGCAATATTCCTTTTCCTCCAATATTCCTACTTAGCCCTGAACTAGCTAGAAGATCACCTCTGTCCTCTGAGGTGATTTGACCCTGCACTAATCTGTGTGGGGAGTGTGGATGCCACTCTGTGGTGAGGCAACTAATCTAAGAGCTGAGCTATACACCTCTCCACAAGACTGCTTCGGCCTCAGGTCAGGCTGGGCTCAAGAGTAAGGCCCCTGCTGCCTCCAAGCAGGATCCAAAGGAGTTACTCTTTAACAAGGCCTGGCTGCAGTCTGTCTTCGGGCACCCTGATACTACTCTAGCAGATGAGCAGGCTTTGAGCCCTCCTGACCTTCGCTATGCACAATAAGCCCGCCCCAAGGAGAAGCAATCCACACTGTAGGTCCCGTTCATCAGCAAATAACAAGGTGCTGCCCGGTCATCAGGACATGAGCACCACACAGGTGTCTCAAGGAACTACAACCCTGGACCCCACCACATCGAACACTGCCTGGCTGACCACACAGACACTACCCCTCCCAGCCAAAGGGGGAAAAGGTTTGTGCAATTTCCCCCTCTACTGTCTTACCTGCTGGGGCTGTCGTGCCGTACACCTAATAAGCCTAGTGCTTTGTGTTCTTATCTTGTTGAATTCTTTCACTGCCTGCACTTCACCAGCCTGTCACTGTGTTCCCGGGCATGGTACCAAGCGCATATCCCATCGATGCATGGAACTTCATAGATAAGTTTGTAAGAACTTCAAAGGTGGGCTGGAGCGAAGGCTCAGTGATTATGTGTTCCAGAGGCCCCAAGTTCAGTTCCTAGCACCCACTCCAGCAGGGGGAATCCAATGTCTTCTTTTCTCCTAGGGCATGCACTACATTCATGTGCACAAACTCATGATAGACACACACACACAATTTAAAACAATACGAACTTGGGACTGGAGAGATGGCTCAGAGGTTAAGCGCACTGGCTACTCTTCCAGAGGTCCTGAGTTCATTTTCCAGCAACCACGTGATGGCTCATAACCATCTGTAATGAGGTCTGGTGCCCTTTTCTAACATGGAGGTGTACATGCAGGGGAAACATTGTATACATAATAAGTAAATCTTTAAAAAAAATACAAACTCGCACTCAGACACACACATAATTAAAACAGTACAAAGTTTGCCAGGCAGTGGCGGTGCACGCCTTTAATTCTAGCACTCTGGAGGCAGAAGCAGGCAGATCTTTGAGTTGGAGGTCAGCCTGGTCTACAGAGCAAGTTCCAGGACAGACAGCTAAGGTTACACAGAGAAACCCTGTCTTGAGAAACCAAACCAAACCAAACCAAACAAACAAAAATCCAAACCAAACTAAACCAAAACCTAAAATAATGCAAAGTAAAAAAAAAAAAAAAAAAAAAAAGCACTATGGTGACTGGAGAGACAGCTCAGTGGTTAAGAGCAGTGGTTGCTCTTCCAGAGACCTGGGTTCAATTCCCAGCAACCACATGACAGCTCACAACGGTCTGTCTGTTACCCCAGTTCCAGGGGATCCAATGCCCTCTCTGGCTTCTGGAGGCACCAAGCACACATGCAGTGCACATAATCCATTCATATAAAACAACAAAACAAAGAATCACAAGTGTGTGTGTGTGTGTGTGTGTGTGTGTGTGTGTGCCTGTCAGAGGACAACTTTGCAGAGTTAGTTCTCTCCTTCCAGCTTCCAGGGTTTGCATGATTGAGGTCAGGTTTCACAGTAGTGCTTTTACCCTCTGGGCTATCTTCCTGGGGCTTGCAACAGGTTTTATTGGGGCCTCAAGCCACTTCAGGGTAGAGCTGGCTGTTCTTCCTGGACAGAAGGGCTGGCTGGATCTTATCACAGCGGCTGATATTCAACCTGCTGTTTGCTGACATCGACTTGTTTTCAAGAGCCTTTGGTAGGTTGATTGTTGGGAGGACTCCTTTGCACTACTTTTGCTGAGACCCACAGCAGCTGGACTACACCTTGAGGGAGCACGTTAGCTTGCAAGACACTAGATGGGCTGGGGACAAAGAATGGCATCCTGTGTCCCATTTTCTCTGGGTACCAACAGGAAGGCCTTTTCTTTCTTGTTTTAAGCCTCCGGATAATAGGGCTTACCAGAACTCTCTAGGTAAGTGCCGCCCTACCCTGCTGGCATGGGGCCTGGGCTGGCGTGAAGTACCCTAGAGTCTGAGCATAGGTGGATATAAAGGCTCAGGTTTTCATGCTGGCCTACCCTGAAACCTCACATTTTCTCCAGTCTGCCCTCCACGCCTCAGATGGGTACTCTACGGATAAATTCAACCACCGCTGTGAATGAAGGCTGGATGGGGATAACTAGCACACTGCCGCCCCGGAGGGCTCCTCTACATGACTAGTCAAGACCCTGGCCTCAGGAGATCAGAGAACTTGATCAAAGGAAACACATTAAATCAAACAGCATTCCCCTTCAAAGTATACAGCCCTACAAGAAATAGCCACAGTAGCCACAGCAGGGCTCTGACACCCCAAGGTAGGTGAAAGGTAGTTTACGAGTATTGGCTGGAGGGCACCTTTCGGCCTTCTCTATTTATTTATCTACTTATTTTTGATTTTTCGAGACTGGATTTCTCTGTAGCTTTGGAACTAGCTCTTGAAGACCAGGCTGGCCTCGAACTCATAGAGATCCACCTGCCTCTGCTCCTGAGTGCTGGGATTAAAGGCGTGCGCCACCACCGCTCGGCTGCACCTTCTCCTTTTAAACTCTCAACATTAGACAATGGTATGGTGAATTTTGCCTGCAATCCTAGCACAGATGGAAGATGGCTTCAAGTTTCAGGTCAAGCAGGGCTATAGAGTGAGACCCTGTCTCAAAAAGACAAAACAGAACAAAAACCATGGGGAGAGGTGGTTTTGCGTAAAGAGCTCTAGCTACTTTTTTTTTTTTTTGGTTTTTCTCTGTGGCTTTGGAGCCTGTCCTGGAACTAGCTCTTGTAGACCAGGCTGGTCTCTCTAGCTACTCTTGCAGAGGATCTGAGTTCAGCTCCCAGCACCCACATTAGTCCACAACCATCTGTAACTCCAATTTCAAGGGATCTGATGCCCTCTTCAGATATCCATGGGTACTGCACACATACAGTACACAGACATACACGTAAACAAAATACCCATACAAAATAAAAATTTTTGTGATTTTTCTTGTTTTACTCATTGGTGCTTTGTCTGCATGTACGTCCATGTGAGGGTGTCAGAAGCCCTGGAACTTTACAGACAGATGTGAGTTACCATGTGGGTGCTGGAAATTGAACCTGGGTCCGCTGGAAGAGCAGTCAGTGCTCTTAATTGCAGAATCATCTCTCTGGCCCCCTCAAATAAGTATTTTTTTAATATTTATTTATTATTATGAATACAATATTCTGTCTGTGTGTATGTCTGCAGGCCAGAAGAGGGCACCAGACCTCATTACAGATGGTTGTAAGCCACCATGTGGTTGCTGGGAATTGAATTCAGGACCTTTGGAAGAGCAGGCAATGCTCTTAACCACTAACTCTTGTAGACCAGGCTGGCCTTGAACTCATAGAGATCCACCTGCCTCTGCCTCCCGAGTGCTGGGATTAAAGGCGTGCGCCACCACCGCCCAGCCAAATAAATATTTTTTAAAAAGGCTTCCAACTCTTGTTATTGTTTGTTTTTTTGTTTTTTGAGACAGGGTTCCAACTCTTGTTATTGAGCAAGCAGAAGTTATCAAACAAAAGCCATCTTGATGTCCACGGCTACAGTGACTTTGTCATTCCAGGCGACAGT